CAAATGACATTACAGATAAAGGGCTGGTATCCAAGATTTATAAAGAATTTCTCAAACTGAACACCCAAAAAACAAATAATCAAGTCAAAAAATGGGCAGACATCATGAACAGACACTTCTCCAAAGAAGACATACAAATGGCTAACAGACACATGAAAAAATGTTCATCATCATTAGCCATCAGGGAAATTCAAATCAAAACCACACTGAGATACCACCTTACACCAGTTAGAATGGCAAAAATCGACAGGGAAAGAAACAACAAAGTTGGAGAGGTTGTGGAGAAAGGGGAACTCTCTTACACCATTGGTGGGAATGTAAGTTGGTACAGCCACTTTGGAAAACAGTGTGGAGGTGCCTCAGATGATTAAAAATAGAGCTACCCTATGACTCAGCAATTGTACTACTGGGTATTTACCGCAAAGACACAGATGTAGTAAAAAGAAGGGCCATATGTACCCCAATGTTCATGGCAGCAATGTCCGCAACAGCCAAACTGTGGAAAGAGCCGAGATGCCCTTTAAAAGTTGAATGATAAAGAAGATGTGGTCCATACATAAAATGGAATATTAGCCCTCAGAAAGGATGAATAGCCAACTTTTGTATCAACATGGATGGGACTGGAGGAGATTATGCTAAGTGAAATAAGTCAAGCAGAGAAAGTCAATTATTATATGGTTTCACTTATTTGTGGAACATAAGGAGTAGCATGGAGGGCATTAGGAGAACGAAGGGAAAAATGAGGGGGGGAAATTGGAGGGAGAGATGAACCATGAAAGACTATGGACTCTCAGAAACAAACTGAGGGTTTTAGAGGGGAGAGCGGAGGGGGGATGGGTTAGCCCGGTGATGGGTATTAAAGAGGGCATGCACTGTATGGAGCACTGGGTGTTATACGAAAACAATGAATCGACTGCATGGAGCACTGGGTGTTATACGAAAACAATGAATCATGGATCACTACATCAAAAACTAATGATGTATTGTTTGGTGACTAACATAACATAATAAAATAAAATTTAAAAAAAGCTAGATGAGGAAATTGACTTATAGAGAAGTAAAGTCACTTGCTCAAGGTTGTACAGATTGTAATTTGTCATTGTTTTTCTCTCACAGTCTCCTTCCAGGCTTTTTCCTCCTCATCTAACTAGATTTCCTTCTCCAAAATATCTTTTATCTTTTTCTGGCAATAAACTTAGCACTGTCCTCTGGGATGTGTGGGGAACTTAACATTTGCTCAACATTAACAGAGGGGTAAAAGGTCTCCTCTTTGCTGAGCCCTCAGGAGGAATGTGCCCTCTGGGGACCTGCAGAGGAAGAAGGAAGTGGGTGAGGAGGGCAATTTTGTTCCCATTAGATTTGAGCTATGCATCGGGTTTAGTTACAATTTTGTTGTTCCATGAACAACAGTAACTTAAGAATTCAGGCTTTTCTGATTATATATTGTTTGACTTCCCTCTTGTCCTCAGACCAGCTCTACCCTTCTGAGCCCCTTGATTCCCCTCACTCTCCCCACCCTTCCTCAGTTCACCCTATTCTGGCCCACATTTTTCTCAACCCCAGCTTCTTAAGCCTTTTTTGGTTGTTGTTTTACTAGGAGCTGGGAGGGTGGAGTCCTCTTTCTGAGGCATTTCCTCCCCTCCCTCTCTCCAGCCCTCAGACTGGGTTCCACCCTAGTAGTTTGTCAGCTGGCTTTCAAAAAAAAAAAAAAAAAAAAAAACGTGGGGGAGAAGCAGGAGGATGAAGAGGAAGAGGGAAAAGGAAGAACAGTATCTTGCGGGCCCTTACACATGGGATATCTGCATATCTCTTAGCTGTTGTTCATTAGGTTCCTTGCTTAATTTAACTCTTATATTCTTCATCTGACTGATTGGGTATAGAGGAAAGCACAGGCTATTACTTTAAGCAGACAGTCTCCCTAAGGCTTAGGATGGGATGGAAGGAGTTGAAGATATTGCAAGTCGCTATTCAGTTTATTTTTTAAGCCAGCTAATAGAAAGGAGAGCCTGTGGTGCTTCCTAGGAGAGGGAAACCGATCACAACTTCTAGTTCTTCATACCTCCTCCCCCACATCCTTTCCTGTGACTTACACAACACCAGCCACATGACGATAATTGACATGTCAAGAGGCCAAGTATAAAGTAAAAGTTTTGCCTTTGCCCTTAACTATGGTCATGAGGTACACAGTTCCCTGTGAGCCATCTTTGAGTCCTAATTTGAGACAAAAGCCAGTTCTAGAAGACTGAAGGGAAATATGGACTAATGTGCTGCTTGGTGAACTAAGGGTTCCTTCACTGGAGGCTCTTGCAAAGACGGACGTTCTCCTTTCTCCCCCTAACAGCATGGTTCTTGATATAACACAATATCTACAATATCCATTTTATTGACTAAATGTATAGAAGACTCTTGGGTTTGTTTTCCAAGTTTCAATAATTTATGTTTTACAGAAACCAAATTTGCCATCTGAGGTCTTAGTTTCCCCACAAATAAAGTTGAAGCAGTATTACTAAAAAGCAAACAAAAAACTTGGGCTTAAAATAAATTAAAGAAAGACTGTTAATAAGAATGTAAACTGTTTAGTTATCTGCAGATGAATATGGCTTCCTGAGAAGCTTTTCCAGATTGGACAAGGAACTCATTATGACCTTGAGGCACACATATCTTAAATCAGGAATTGTACTGGCTACTCTTTAAAATTTTACTTCAGTTACATGCTGATTTTCATCTGCACATCATGAAAATGCATTATTTCTTGCTATAAACAGTTCAACTTCCTTTCATGCACTTGAATCTAAGAGAAAACTTTCTAGTGTTGCTAAAAAAATCGTTGGTTGGAGTAGTGAGAATCCTATGTTGAGTAGAACTCCCCAAATTTTATACATTGAGATACTAAGTCTCCACGGGATAAAGTGATGCATTTTTAAAGAATGTGTGGAGAGTTGTACACTTGTCTATATGGTTTCTTGTCAACACATCTTACTTTGTAAGCTAAGCAGATGGTGGAAAAATATGGTATAGTAAGATAGGGAGTTCTTTATAAAACCCCTACTACAGGGATATTCTTTTGTTCAACAGGGATATGATTTCATTCAACAAATGCATATTCATGTTATTTAATCTCTGTCCCTTAGTTTCCTCATCTGTAAAATGGGGATAGTAACAATACCTACCTATAGGTTGTTAGAAGGATTCAATGACTATATGTGTATGTAAAATATATATGTATATATGTTTGTATACATATACATGTATGAGGGAGGGAGAGAGAGAATATGCTTAGAATAGAGCTTGGCACATAGTTAATGCTCAGTAACTATTATTATTGTGAATAATAATACCGGGTACCCAGGTTACAGAAATGATGCTGCTTAGTGCCTAACCTCAGGGACTTTATAATCTAGTAGGGGGAGGCAATTATATCAACAAATACGTGCACTGAGGTAGAGAAGAGCACAGAGGAAGCAATGATTAGTTTTGCATGAAGGAATTAAGTAAGGAAGGGAGATGATCTTCAATTAGTCCTTTCAAGAAGGTGGATAGAGATCTTAGGCCATTTCAGACAAAGAAAGCAAGATGAGCCAAAGTATAGAGGATGGAACAAGGCTGGCATTCTCAGGGATTTGTAATACAGGTAAGCAGCAAAAGCTCTGCTGCTTGAGAAGTAGGTAGATTTCAGATTACAGCAGATTAAAGGTAAGTCTCAGCATGCTGCTTTAAAGGCCACGGTGCATGTTGATTCCATTCAAGTAGTTAGCAGGTGAACTACAGCAGGGAGAACAGAGAATTTGGGACAGACTAAGAGAAGATAAGATGATTAGAAGACATTCAGGTAGAAATATTAAGCAAGTGGACATATATGTGTTGGGAAGTACTGGGCTCTGAATCTCAATTTCTTTACTTATTTATTTTTATGTGGGATGAGTCCCACATCCATTTCCTTGCTCAGCTGGGAGCCTGCTTCTCCCTCTCCCTCTGCCTGTTGCTCCCCCTGCTTCTACATGCTCTCTCTCTCTCTGACAAATAAATAAATAAGTCTTAAAAAAAAAAAAAACAAGGAAAGAAAGAAATGAGAAATGATGAATGTAAAAGCACCTGGCCCAGTGACTTTCCCATATTAGGTACTGAATATACAGTAGCTATTATTATTTATTCTGTTCCTCTGCTCTCTCACTCCCTCTGCTTTGTTTCTTGTTTCTCTTCTCTTCCCTCTCCTTTAAAAGAATTGTGGTAGAGAAGAGGCACTGAAAAGAGCTTGTGGTTGCTTGTGACTTCATGGCCTCCTATTAAAATGAGCTAGAGAGGGACTTTCAGGCAAGGACAAAGAAATCCTGGAAATGTGGCTGTTATCCATAGGAATCAGCTCTACAGGGATCTTTACCAATGCTCGGCTAAGAGGCGGTGTCAGGGTGTTGAGAGCTTTCTGTTTCACAATTCCTTCAATTCTTCCTTCTCCACCCACTCTTTCACCCTCACCTTCTTCCCTTATCTCTTGTGAGAAAATGCCCCCAGCTCCCTTCTTCTTTGCTCTTATTCTCCTCCCTTAGAAGATACTGTAACCTCGCTGTCCTTGCTGGTGTCATACTGTTACCATGGAGAGCGGGGACGGGTAATTATCGCTTACAGTTGCCAGCTTTCTTGCTCTTCCCTTTTCCCATTCCTCTCTTCCTAGAGAGCCCCCACCCAGTATCCCCGCATGCCTTTCATCCTCCCCTGGTAGGTTAGCTTAACCAGAAAGGATAGGTGACCAAGCAGTGTGCTTGTAAGCCTCTTCCTGGGACCAATAAGGAAGTGAAATTGATTCGAGTTATACCTGCTGCTGCTGGAGACGGAAGCGGCCGCCAAGGGCGAAGCCAGAGCTCTCCGCCCAGGGCCCCGCCCCACCCCTTCCCTTCTCCCTTTCTGTTCTCAAGCCCCACCCTTCTCCACCTTCTCCCACCGCACTCTCCTCTAGCGGCCTGCCTGTCCCATTTAAGGAACTCCATCCTCATAAGAGTCACACCTCTCCTCTGGATCTAGCTGGACTAGAGACAGAGTCACCCCATCCACTCAGGTCGCCTAGCGAACACTTTAGGTTCTGACCCGCATGGGCGCGAGGTCCCTAATGGGACAACTTAGGTGCCTTTAAGAAACCTCGCCCCAGAGAACCCTCACAAATTGTTACCATTTTTTGCTGAAGCCTCTCCCCTGAGCTGAGGGTGCCTGTATATGTTTCCACCAAACGTAGACATTTGCTCTCTGCCCCCAGCCTTTTTTAAAGGAAGGAGCTGGGGTGTGTGGCGTCAACTGCCGCAGTAAAGGGATCTCCTTGAAGTATCTTCTCGTGGGTGTCTTGAAGGAGTCCTTCTCTGCCTCAACTTTGTATTCAAGTAGTATTTGGGGATTTGGCTTGGTTTTCTTGGCTCCTACCCCAGTCCTCCTTTCAAGGGTGTGTGGAGTTCAGAGATGGGTGGAGAGTGGGCTTGGCCGGAACTGAATTAGCAGAGATGAAAGGGAAACGGAGGATCCTCAGCCTTGGCCACTTCGACCTGGCGAATTCACTTTATTTTTAGCCGAGGAAAAGATCTGCATTGGAAGCAGGGGGAAGATTCTTTTTAGGAAGTCTGCTTTGCTAACCTACCCCCAATCCCCGAGTTTGGGGTTGGATGCTTGAGGGCTTTGTTTCCCTTATTTTATTTTATTTTTTTTAAGGGTAGTCTAGCTGTGTCTGAATTGACTCCCTCTGCTCTGGCCCTCCTCCCCATTTTCCGGCCAGGAGAAAGAGAGGAGGTGGGGGCCCGGGAAAGAGAAGGCGAGGGCTAGTCGCCCGGTGCGCTGACAGGGGCAGGTGTGAGAGAGATAGCTGTCTTCGATCGGCTCAGGAGTATGAGCTTCCCAGAGGACAGCATGAGCTCCGGACACTTCAGGGGTCACCAGCTAGCGACATGAATGGTAAGTGACTCCAGGGTTAGAACCCACACACCCCTGTCTCCTGATCTGAATTCTACCCCGCACCCCCATACCTCTTTAGGTTTTAGCAGCCGGGAGGAGGGTTGGGGAACGAAGGGTATGAACACTATGTGGAATCAAATGAAACCCAAGGAAAAAATGACTTTGCTAAAGGGCTGAGCAAAGAGGGGCTAGGAAGGGGAGAAGCACTTTGGGGGAGACTCGAGGGAGAAATGAGTGGGGGGCCAGGAGTGGATAGATTTGTCTAATTTAATCCGTCCCTGGCTCGGCCATCTCAGTTCTCCTTAAGGAGAGGTTTGTCTTTGACTTAACCCTACGCAGCCAAAGTTGCAGAAAGAGAGAACAGAGTTCAGAAGGCCAACGCTCCCAAGTAACCCTCTAAGCAGTAGAGGATACCTAGAGATGCTTCAAAAAGGAAAGAAGAGCGGGCAGGGGGTGAAGTTCCTACCAGGGGCTACCGGGGGTACTGAGCGGCAGGCCCCTGGAGGCAGCCTCTGGGTCAGAGCTGCTTTGGGCGTGCAGGCTCTTTAAGGAGGGGCTGAGCTTGGTTAGAGGAGGAGTCTAGGTCCCACCCTGGGTCTTTAAGACAAGGCCAAGGGAGTTGGTTCCTCTGTGTAGATGGAAGATTGGACTGAATTGCTGAGGTTGCTGTGGCGAATCGACTTGCAATGGTCATTTGGAAGAGCTGTCCTTTTTGTGGTCTTTTTTTTTTTTTTTTAATTCTAAGAATTTGAGGAAATATAAATCGCAAAATAAATAAAATCTATTATTTGGAAAAATAAATTCAAACAGATGGTCCAGGGAATGGTCCCCTGTTTCCTTTGGTATTGTCTTTATTGTAAAGGAAAACATTAAGCACGTGTCTGATGTCACTCAGTGTGATAATAACTTGACCAAGAGAATAATCTCTAAATTTGAATTTAATACTGATAGAGACTGTGATGGTTTGGGGTAACAGACAGATCTGATTTGAAACCCAATTACCACTGCTTACTAGTTGCATGACCCTGGGCAATGCTTTTCTCCTCTAGAGAATGCCGATTGATAATGTGATCTCAAAAGATACTTGAATAGATTAAATACCGTGGTGTATGTGACAGAGGCTGCAAGTACCTCTTAGTCTTACTTCATTTTCCTATTCAGTTTGAGACTTTCCCTGGAGCACTATTAATAGAATTAGTGTTTCCTTGTTTGTTTTTTTTCCTAAAGATTTTATTTATTTAATTTATTTGAGAAAGAGAGAGAGAGAGAAACAGCATGAGAGGGGAGAGGGTCAGAGGGAGAAGCAGGCTCCCCACTGAGCCGGGAGCCCGATGGGGGGGACTCCATCCCAGGACTCCAGGATCATGACCTGAGCCAAAGGCAGTCACTTAACCAACTGAGCCACCCAGGTGCCCTAGTGTTTCCCTGTTTTTTAAAACTTCTTGCAGATGGGATGAAAGGAGACCTCAGAAGACTGAATTAGCTTGCCCTAAGGCTGAGGCTAGAACACAGCTTTTATTTGCTTCTGATATAACATTGTTTCCACTGGACTTTATTTTTGAGAGAGAGAGGGAGAGAGCAGGAGCACAAGCAGGGGGAGGGACAGAGGGAGAAGCAGACTCCCCGCTGAGCAGGGAGCCTGATGTGGGACTCAATCCCGAGGACTCTGGGATCATGACCTGAGCTGAAGGCAGATGCTTAACCACCCAGGTGCCCCCCACTGGACTTTAGTACCACTGAGAGAAAGAGCCACTAGCTTACCTTTCACCCTGATTCTTCTGGCAACTTAACCAAGATGATATAACCAACAGGACCTTTGGACAGCAGAATCCAGTGACTCACAAATGACCTCATTCCATTCTTCAGAATTTTGGGGGTAACCCTTTTATATGAGGGTTGTTAATCTTTGGTGACTCTTGGGGACACAGAGAATAGGCTGGGAACAGTGTCTTCAGGTTAGCTTGAAGGGCAGAGAGCAGATAACAGGAAGGAGAGAAATATAAAGTAAAAGTGATGTGTACATCTAGTCCCTCCTCAAGACCAAACTGGTTAATGTCTCTACTTCTAGAGTTCTGGGGAGCTATAGGTCCCTCTTTCAGGATACATTGGAAAGAAAATTGGATAAAAAACGTGAACTAGATCACCACTACCACTTTCTTCCCCCTAGCCCCCATCTTTCTAGTATATGCATTTCTGAGATGGGGCCCTTGTTGGTTCAGCTAATTGAATTCCAATAACCAAGCAAACCAAGCCTGGTACAGTCATCATTTCTCTCTCCATATTGTATGTCTGGTGGTGAGAAAGATCAACCATTTATTCTTTATCCTTCCAGCAGGGGCATCATTATTATTTGACACATTCATATTTGCCCTTGCCTTGAGTCAGTTGTAGTTGATTACTTCACTTAAATTGATGAATAATGAGAAGATTGCCTTTGGCTATATAATTCATTTGGCAAATATGTGTTGACATGCTATGTGTCAGGCACTGAAAAATTTGTTAAAAATTCATTTTTAACATTCATTCCTTATTAAATACCTTAATGTCTTAAGTCTTAAATGTCTTCAGTGTCTTTTTATTGATCTATTTTTTTAATTTTTAAAACTTTATTATGTTATGTTAGTCACCATACAATACATTTGATGTGGTGATCCATGATCCATTGTTTTCGTGTAACACCCAGTGCTCCATGTAGTACATGCCCTCCTTAATACTCATCACTGGGCTAAAACATCCCCCCTCCCCTCCAAAACCCTGTTTGTTTTTCAGAGTCCATAGTCTCTCATGGTTCATCTCCCCCTCTGATTCCTCCCCCATTTTTCCCTTCCTTATCCTAATGTCCTCCATGCCTTCCTTATGTTCCACAAATAAGTAAAACCATATGATAATTGACTTTCTCTGCTTGACTTATTTCACTTAGCATAATCGCCAGTCCCATCCATGTTGATGTAAAAGTTGGGTATTCATCCTTTCTGATGGCTGAGTAATATTCCATTGTATATATGGACCACATCTTCTTTATCCACTCATCTGTTGAAGGGCATCTCAGCTCTTTCCACACTTTGGCTATTGTGGACACTGCTGCGATGAACATTGGGGTGCATATGGCCCTTCCTTTTACTACATCTGTGTCTTTGGGGTAAATACCCAGGAGTGCAATTGCTGAGTCATAGTGTAGCTCTATTTTTAATTTTTTGAGTAACATCCACACTGGTTTCCAAAGTGGCTGTACCAACTTGCATTCCCACCAACAGTGTAAGAGGGTTCCCCTTTCTCCACAACCTCTCCAACTTTGTTGTTTCTTTCCCTGTCCATTTTTGCCATCCTAACTGGTGTAAGGTGGTATCTCAATGTGGTTTTGATTTGAATTTCCCTGATGGCTAATGATAATGAACATTTTTTCATGTGTCTGTTAGCCGTTTGTATGTCTTCAGAGAAGTGTTTTTTCAAATCTTCTGCCCACTTTTGACTTGATTATTTGTTTTTTGGGTGTTGAGTTTGAGAAGTTCTTTATAGATCTTGGATACCAGCCCTTTATCTGTAGTGTCATTTGCAAATATCATCTCCCATTCTGTGGGTTGCCTCTTTGTTTTGTTGAATGTTTCCTTTGCTGTGCAAAAGCTTTTTATCTTGATGAAGTCCCAAAAGGTCATTTTTGTTTTTGTCTTGCTAGTTTTTGGAAATGTATCTTGAAAGAAGTTGCTGTGGCCGATGTCAAAGAGGTTACTGCCTACGTTCTTCTCTAGGATTTTGATGGATTCCTGTCTCACATTGAGGTCTTTCATCCATTTTGAGTTTATCTTTGTGTATGGTGTTATAGAATGGTCAAGTTTCATTCTTCTGCATGTGGCTGTCCAATTTTCCCAGCACCATTTATTGAAGAGACTGTCTTTTTTCCATTGCATGTTTTTTCCTGCTTTGTTGAAGATTATTTGACCATAGAGTTGAGGGTCCATATTTGGGCTCTCTATTCTGTTCCATTGGTCTATATGTCTGTTTTTGTGCCAGTATCATGCTGTCTTGGTGATCACTGCTTTGTAATATAAAGCTTGAAATCAGGCAACGGGATGCCCCCAGCTTTGTTTTTCTTTTTCAACATTTCCTTGGTGATTCGGGGTCTTTTCTGATTTCACAAAATTTTAGGATTGTTTGTTCCAACACTTTGAAAAATGTCATTGGAATTTTGATCGGGATGGCATTGAAGGTATAGATTGCTCTGGGTGGCATAGACATTTTAACAATGTTTATTCTTCTGATCCAAGAGCATGGAATATTTTTCCATCTTTTTGTGTCTTCTCCAATTTCTTTCATGAGTGTTCTGTAGTTCCTAGAGTATAGATCCTTTACCTCTTTGGTTAGGTTTATTCCAAGGTATCTTATGGTTTTTGGTGCTATTGTAAATGGAATCGTCTCTCTAATTTCTCTTTCTACGGTTGCATTGTTAGTGTATAAGAAAACAACTGATTTCTGTGCATTGATTTTGTATCCTGCCACATTACTGAATTGCTGGATGAGTTCTAGTAATTTGGGGGTGGAGTCTTTTGGGTTTTCCACATAAAGTATCATGTCATCTGCGAAAAAAGAGAGTTTGACTTTTTCCTTGTCAATTTGAATGCCTTTTATTTCTTTTTGTTGTCTGATTGCTGTTGCTAGGACTTCTAGTACTATGTTGAACAATAGTGGCAAAGGTGGGCATCCTTGACATGTTCCTGATCTGAAGGGAAAGGCTCTCAGCTTTTCCCCATTGAGGATGATATTTGCTGTGGGTTTTTCATAGATGGATTTTATGAACTTGAGGAATGTTCCCTCTGTCCCTATATTCTAAAGAGTTTTATTCAGGAAAGGATGCAGTATTTTGTCAAATGATTTTTCTGCATCAATTGAGAGGACCATGTGGTTCTTCTCTCTCCTCTTATTAATGTGTTGTATCACACTGCTTAATTTGCAAATGTTGAACCACCTTTACATCCCGGGGATAAATCCCACTTGGTCGTGGTGGA